AACACAAATTTCGGACGGCTCTGTGTCAACAGACAGCTTGTTGGGAAAAGGCTGGGAAATTGAATGTCCCAGCTCACTAACTACACTCGGCTTCTTCGTCCGATGCTCGATTTTGAGGGCGAGGTTGCAATGCGTTGTGAGATGGATATGACGAAACAGGAAGACGAAGTTCGAGATATCGTCGTCCAGTAATAACGTGATGACCTGGGGTAATGAAACCACTGATAGATTGAGGGGAATGGAGTCGAGAGGAGCCTTCGAGGGTGTAGGGGAAGATTAGCTCTGCGAGCATGGGGGAAGAGTAGAACATTCCGAGGATCTGAGCCAGCGATGGGGCCAAAGTCTGGTCTTGCAGGGGGAGGCGGAGATGAGTCAGGCTGTAAGATGATACTGCATCCCAAGAAGTTACAAAGTCAGACAGGGCGAGCGTTCGAAGGTCGGGAGAGTTCAAGTGAGACGCTGGCCCGGGAATGGGGGCAGTTTGCATTTCGGACCAAGGAATGAACAGATACAAGGTTCGCAAGGATGCGGCATTCAAGCTTAACTTCCCCGAACTTGGTCTAGTATCTCTGGGGCAGCTTGTATATCAAGCGTATGAATGGGAGCGCTCCTAATCTCCAGATGAAGATTTCTCACCCGAGGGAGATGCATAGGAAGGTAGGCTTTGACGACGATAGGCATACTTGCGGAACGGCAAAGCTGTTTCATTGACCCATTCAGGATGGTCAGACTGATAGTCGGCCTGGGTCCATGGTTCGCAGCAGTCTAGAGCTACATGGCGCCAAGGGTGGCAGACATGGAAGACGGCTTCGAGGTGGTTGGGCGGACAGTAAGGATGGAGCACAAACGATCTCTGTACGGTGTGACTCGTCCCAGTCACGCACCGATATTCGGGCATGTCCTTCACTTCACTCTCTATCGACCATGTCTAGTCGGTCGAATCTACCCACAAACCCAGCTCCTGGAAGCATTGGAAGCACCAGCTCGCGGCGCGAGACTAACCAGTCAGTGTCGTCAACCCACTCGGCCTCAAGTCGGAGCGAGCGTGGAGGATCGAGAGGTGCTTCACATGTACGTTGTAGTACACATTCCAGTTCAGCGGGTTCATCTGACCGACTTTGTTTTTGTGAAGCCTGCTGTCGAGTCTGCGGTAACACGCTTGCTTGTGGCCATCAAGCAGTTGCTGGAGGCGCTCACACAATGGAGCTTGCTGAAGATCGACGAAACTAATGTTAGCGACGTGTATGTTCGCTTGGGAAACGACTTCAACGCCGCAGTAGCGGCCTTCGCGGCCTTCAATATCGACATGGCGTATGTCTCTAATCCCTCATTTGTTCGCGCATTTATTGAGCGTTGGGTTGAAGCGAATTAATGACCGTCCCCGACGACCTTCGGAATGTACTGGAGCAGTGTCTCGCAGAAGATGCCACTCCCGACAACCTCGAACTGTATCTCCCAACGGTGCGGCAGATAATAACAAATTTACTGCAAGGCCTGCGCGGGAAGCAGTCCATCTACCGACGCATAGTCTCTGATCACCGGCACCGCTCTGAGCAATCCGGGTCCGAAAAATCAGAGAGCCGTTCCTCCCGTTCGCGACGGGAGGGTTCGCACCGATCCCAGTTATCTCGGACGACGTTTAGCGACAATGACACTCCCTCAACGGCCAACTCCACGCTGCGAGATAGAGACAGCACGTCCTCCCGCAAGAGCGCGCAGCAGTCTTCGAGCCGAAGAAGGGACCCCGGCTCACCGTCGCTCAATGGCTCGCCGCTCAGCAACGGAGAGCCATTCATCGGAGGATTTGTGCCTAGCGTCGTGGAACAACCTGCAGAGCCGGATCGCGATCCGCAAGGGGATTCCTTTACCCAGTCAGATTCTCAATCTCGAAGAGCGCGGACGGTGCCGCCCCCGATTGACCCACCTCCTGCCGACAACTTCCAATACCCAAGCAACTCTCCGAACGAACAAACAGCGATGCCTCCGCCTACTCAGAACGTTCCGGCGAGTGTTAAGCGTTATTCATTGGTGGATAAACCCCTCGCTACTCCGGCTGTAGTTATAGAACCCTCAAGTCCAGATCATGACCGTATCAATGGCTCGATGTCTCCCGCTCCTCCGGAAACGCCCCCCATAGACGTCCTCGAGGCGCCTGCGATGGCCAACTCCCTTGCGGCTCTCAAAAAGAGTGATACTCTAGAGCGCAGAGCGTCGAAACGGTTTTCAACTTACAACATATCGAAAATGACCGGTGGCCCAACAATGCGGGAACGATCCACAAGAACAGGGCTTGGGGCACTGAATCGGCGTTCGTTGGCTGCCTCATCGGCTTTAACACCCGGAGACCTCGCAGTACTTACTGAGGTGGACGACGAGGAGCCATCAGCGCCGCAGGTTGGAAGAGCCAGCTCCTCGACTCCTACGCTGGAACGAGGTCAACCTGAAATGCCTCCCGTACCTCGACTACCTGCCACTCCAGCCCGGACACCGGAGCCGATAATCCCTCCGCCTGAGGCCCTGCCCGAACAAGATGTTGCTGTCACTCCAATACCCCCACCGGTGCAAGACGCTTCACGAGTCACTGTTTTCCTACAACTAGGGAGAGAAGTGAAAAAAGTGACAATCGACCAGGGTCTATCGTTCCCATCTCTTCGAGTGTTGTTTGTTGACAAATTCTCATACAATCCCGGGCTCGAGAACTTCCCTGCGATCTATATTCGTGACCCGTCCAGCGGAGTGCAGTACGAGCTGGAGGATATGGAAGAGGTCAAAGACAAGTGTTTACTGTCATTAAATATCGAGCGTACGTTTTGCGATCAGCTTGTGCTCCCGCCTCTCACCATCAGCTTTGCATAGCACTCGACCAGATCAAGCAGCACATCGACGCTCAAATGTCAAATCTATCGCAGGACATCAAGGAACTCAAAACAGCAGTTAATAGCAATCAACGGCAGTCTATGCATGCGGCTACCATTGTCGGTCACCCGTTGGCAGAGAGTACTCCTGCACCGAATAGACCGACAGACCGCCAATTCCAGCACGTCGCCCGCCGGCTTTCACGTTTCGTTGGAGAGGGCCCCTCTGGCATGTCATCTTTTAACGCCCTCGCCACACCTCCCGTCCTCCAGCCCCAGATGACGGGCCAGTCTCTCCAGCCACAAATGACTGGTGGCTCAATGCTGACTGATCACTCCTCGCGGATCGTCACGGATCTCAAAACCCAATTCGACGAGGTTCAGAACCTGCGACGTGATCTGGGAGTCATGCGCCAGCTGTACACAGAGTTTATGAAGTCCACCAAGGAATCGCTGGGCACGCTCCGCGGACAGACGCAGTCTGTTAAGCAGCTTGCGACGACAAACGTCGGTGGGGCTCGAGGGTACATCGACACGGGCAAGAAGAAACTGGACTCACGGAGCCAGAATGTGCTTACTGAGGTCGAGAAGCTCCAGGACACCGTCGAGGGCGTCAAAGACGATGTTATCAAGCGCCATATCACACCCAAAATGCAGTACTTCCGGAACATCAAGAAGGACATTGACACTGCCGCGGCGGAGATGGAGAGTTTGAAGGAGCACATCAACACGATCAAACCGATGTGGAAGAAGACTTGGGAGGAGGAACTGCAGAATATTGTCGACGAACAGGGCTTCCTCACGCACCAGGAACAATTCCTGGAGGACTTGCTGGAAGATCACAAGGCGTTGGTTGAGGTTTACGGCCACGTCGAAAAGATCATCAGCATCCGCGGCCCTGGATCTGTTGGCAATCGCGGTGGAAGGAAGGGTGGTTTCCGCCCTCCGCCTCCAGAAGAGGGACATAACGGTTTGAGCACGGTTATGCTCGAGATTCGGGGGGCGTCTGTGGACCCGGAACGGCGGATGAAGGCAATTGAAGCAAGCCAGAAGAGCCGCGAGAAGGAGCTCGCCACCCGGTCGGACGACATGCAGGCGGAGTTGAACGACTTTGTCGCCGGCAAGAAACTCAAGATGACTGGAGGCGCGGAGGAGGCCGAGCGTGTACGGCAGAGAAGGAACGACATGACATTAAAAGCCATGTTCACTGGCGGTAGTGTTTCAGATATGGGCGAATTCCCGGGCTGAACTGTTGTCGTGGAACCCGTTTTCTTTCGTTCCCTCTGTTATCGTTTTTCACCGCATCGTACAATCTTAACTGCATATCTATATCTCCTTCACCCAGGACATCCTTGTTGATTTCCGACCTGTATCTCATTATAATGCCTTGCTTTGGAAACGATATTTTCGTCGACGATGGAGGTTTCAGACCTGCCAGTCGTGTTAAAGCAGCGCTTGCGCGGATCGAATGATAAAACCTTTCGACATCATTGCTGTGGCTGAGGTGTACCTCGTTCATGCTGGAACTCATTTGTCAAGTTCTCCGGGGGCGTAGACGCCAGACCACGCAGCCTACGCATAGATCGAAAGGACCTCAGAGTTTTGGAACCAGCTACTAGGCGAGCAGGCCAACGAGACGGGGACCTGTTGTGTTTTCGATGAGGAATTACGTCCAGCGCAAGGGAGACTTGCTCACGACGTCGATTTGTCGCGAATAGGCTGCTGAGCCTCGCCCGGCAGGCGCACATGCCGGGGAGTGAAGATGAGGTATGACAGGCTGAAAGGCAGCTGCATGGGTCCGGCGATGAGCAGCTAGTCAAGTCCACTGGGCCGCCTCATTTTAGCTTGGTCTCGGATCCCACGAGGAAGCTGCCGAGCACGAGTAGACAAAGAAGGGATGAAGACAAAGTAGAACCTTATAGCTAGCCGTTCTTGGACAATGAGGCGGCTCGGGGATGATTATGTAATGATTGATCGAGTCTAAGTATATGTATTCGCTCAATCCGCGCCCAAAGCCAGAGTACAAAAATCTGTGGCAGGGAGGGAAAGTCCTGATTTGTCAGTGCAGGTTGAGAGGGATAAAAAGAAGGTCTTGTGCTGTGGTTGGGCGACAGAAAAAAAAGAAGACGCCCAACGCAACAAAAATACACCGGAGGGGAATCGAACCCCTACCGCTTGCTTTCATAATCAGCCAATATTAATATGAACTGGAAGGCAAGCATGATACCGTTTCACCACCGGTGTCATGTTGAAAGTGACAAAGAGTAACTCATCATTATTGTCATCTGTCTGTGTGCATTGCCAGGTGTTTTCCCCGAATATGGCGCCATCGCCATCACCGTCCGCCTCACCTCTTCATTGCGCATATTGCTCGGTCAGAAATGTTGTGACTTGACAATCACATCTACAGTGGACACTCTTGCGACTCGTCCGTCCCACCATTCTCTCTTCTCTGCCAGGCTGGGAACAAATGATGAAAGAATGCCGCGAACACACCCAACGAGTTTGTGGCAACTCTGTGGAATCAGTCGCAGATAAATTCCGGAGTCCCAGGATCCCCAACACGAATAGAAATACAAATCAAGAGACACGCCTATACAAATCTCAATCGCACTCGACCGTAATACTCTTCACAACAGCTGTAACCCTATCGGGCGCGCGGCTCCAGTCAATCGGCCCCTTGCCCCACGCCGCCGTCCCCGCGGGGCTGCTCGCATCCCAGATCCCCAGCTGCACGCGCATAGTGTGGGTCGGGAAGTGCGAGAAGCCGTTCTTTGTGCATTGATCTTCCGGCAGCCCGTCAGACAGAAAGCTACGGAACACCGAACACCGGGTGCTGCGACGCACCTTTGGGCAGCGTTCTGACGACCCTCCCGTCGAGGCTCCACACAATCCTCTCCGCGCTCACATCGATGCTGTACGCGTGCAGCGCCGCGATGTTATTGACCCCCTCCTTCGAGCTGAAGACACCGTATTCCGGCTTGGCGTTCCGCGGGTCCGGCACGAAGAGGTTGGTTTGCCAGCTGTTGGGCTCCCCGCATACCAGTTCGACGTCAATTTCGTCGCTGGAAGAATCGCCTAGGACGGATTAGAGCCGGACGCGAAGCGCTGATGTCGCATGGCTCACCGATGAGGATTGCGGCAGTGATCACGCCGGCGACCGTAGGGGCGGACATCTGTATCGTGACCTTTCCAGCACTGAGCGCGGTTGAGCGACGCTTAGCGGATGCAGTGAACGAGCGAACTCACGACAGGGTGAAGGTCGAGTTGATGGTCGCGCCGTTCCCGAGCCTGTCGTTGGCGCCCGCCGACTTGGTGACGCGCCCATCTGGCTTGAAGAGATACATCTCGAGCCCTGCATCCGTCACCGAATATGATCCCTCTGGGCTGATGGGCGTAAAGTACGAGTTGAAGCTGGAGGGCGCGTCTGAAAACCTCGCTTGTAGTGGCTGGCACCGTGCGTCGGCGCGAGAGCTGTGTTCCGATGCCCCGCAGAGATTGACCCAAAGAAAGAACGTGAGGGCGAGGACGGAAGAGATGTGCATGGCGGGGAACATGGAAGAGTTGAAAACACAGAACGACACGGTCATGTGATATGACATTTGGTCAAAGCGATATCTCCCAAGTTGCATTCAAATCACATGCAAAAAAGCGTGGGACCCCCTGACCTGCATCATATGAAACACGTTACACCTTCTCAGGGACCTACCGGTACCGGTACCTACCCCTCGATTCTACTCAATCCCTGTCTTTCAAATCGTGGACCCAAGCTGCCCCTAATACTATCAGAGTCAAATTCATGTGTAACGTGGTGTAAAAGGTACCACCCAGGGCACCGGGTCCGGCACCGTTATTTTGAGCCAGCCTTCCCTTGGTAGATAGAGATCAGAGCAAAAAAAGGCTCCTAAATAAGTTTTGAAAACATGAGTTTTGCCGAGACGTAACCTGTCATAGTCTGCTCCCGAGCGCATGCCGGCATGAACAGTATCAGATAGCACGCCAGCCTTGATAATCTTCTGGCGGCGAACCTATCCGGGCGATTCGCATAACGCGATTCGCCCGGGTAGTGCATGCAACAGCATGCAACGTTCTTGCTCTGTCTGGCACTCAGGGCACTTGTAAAACGATTGCGAGTGCGCGACATCGTGAAAAAGCACATGCACGTCTGCCCGTGATAGTATTAGTAGAATTCCGCCCGCAACTGCTCCGAGTCCGTGCTTGGAAGTCGGAAGTTGGGGCCTCGTTGCAATTGTGTGGCCCGCAGGTCCCCGCGCCCCACCGTATACACCCGCGGATGCTCCGCTGCGTTAGATACATACAGTGGGGTGATGGTAGGCATGCGTGTGTGTGTGTGTACTATTTAGCTGTAGGCGCCTCCGCCGCCGCTCTGTATCTACCCATCTCAGGCAGCTGTGCAGTGTGTACGCTCGCAGCATCCGGTGCCGCAGGAATAAGGACATACGTGTCCCGAGCATGTGCGAAGTTGTGGCGTCGCGCAGTCGGCGGTGAGATCTGACCGTCTCTTGCGAGTCGGGATCAGGATCAGCAGCGTGCTAGCAGTGCTAGCCAACACGCACGCTACCGCTGCGACCCGGCCCGTGGGACGCTTGAACTAAGTACGCTGCCAGTGCCTAGCGAGCCCCCGCACGCACAACGTGGCCCCAACGTGGCGCGACAAAAAAGACCGACGCTCATCAGATGCCATCGCCTCTCTTTTGTTGGACCTTGTGGGACAAGCATGAGTATACGCGGGACAGCGGGCCAATTTTATTGTCTCGAATTAGCTATTAACATAAGGAGGGGGGTGTGGCGCACAACAACATAGGGTAACGTACAGCGCGAACATTGACAATCAAGTTCGGATGGCATGGCAAGGCGAGGCGAGGCGGGCGACGAGAGCAGTACAACAAAGCAACGGGAGCAGCAAAAATACACGGGGGGGTGAACGGGTGAAGATGTAGAATGTGACAGATGCAATGGATCGAGGGTAGGAAGACCGGCGGGAAGCGAAGGAAGGGATGGAGGCGTGGCGAGGGGTGTGTGACTGTGAATGCGAAATCGGGGCGAGGCGAAGCATCGAGCGTCGGTTGCAGAGAGATACTAAATGGACTCTAATAATATGGGGGTTATTGTAGGGACGGCGGTGGTACAGCGAACGGCGCGTTCTTTTGGGGCGGGCGCGCGCGGTGGGCGCGGCAATGGCAAATGTACAAGGCAATGCGGGTCCGGCAGTGTCGAGCGCGAAGCAGGAATGCAGCGGAGGCAAGCAAGATGCGGGTGGAGGAGCGGGGGTGCGCGTCGGATCGGACAGGGAAGGGAGGGGTGCCAGTGCTAGGTCGTGATCTCGACGTAGCTGCGCCAGCTCAAGTGCGATGGTTCGTCGTGGAAATCCATGAAGCTCTTGAGGGTGAGGGACGTCTTGCCTCGGCGGCGCGGCTGCGTGTGCGAGGAGACGGGAGTGGACGGGGGATGGGGGAACATGGCGGACGACGGGGGCGCGCGATGAAAGTCTCCATCATCGAGGCCCGCGATAAGCATGAGCAGCTGGTCTTCACTCAGCGAGGAATCTAACGTGTCCTCCGGGGTGTGGGGCCGCGGCGCATCCTCGTCCTCGTCCTCGTCCTCATCCTCGCTCATGCTTATGAAGTTTTCGCTCGGCGACAAGGGCGTGGGTGCGGGTCGGCGGCCCTCGAGACACGCGAGCGCCTTGTTACGGCGCGTGCGGCGGTAGCGCGTCGAGACGGTGGACGTTGTCGCCGAGGCGCGCGACGCGAGCGAAGGCTTGCGCTGGATCACGAGCGGCGTGGGGGTCCGCGAGACGGCGACCTCGAACGCCGGGCTGCGAGGCGTAGAGGGCTGCGAGGGGACGCTGGGAAGTGTTGAGACGGGGGCGGGTTTGGGGGAGGGCAGGGCACGGGGAGAGCTGGCGCGGGACCTGCGGAGAGACAGTGGAGACGAAGGCGGAAGCAGGCAGGGCGAATCTGGGATTTGGCTAGAACGCGGGGTCAGTGACTGGACGTGGAGATGAACGAACGACGCACAAGTTTACGGCAAAGGGCGGTTCGGAAGAGTGAGCAGTCGAGGGTCTGCGCTTGATGCTGTGCGAGCGCAGGGACTGGGACTCTGCGAGATCGAGCGAGAGAAAGGAGCGAAGCTCTCTCTTGTCGCGCTTCGGTTGAAGGGTGAAGTAGAACATGGAAATATCGTCTGCAGAGTCGTACGCGGGCGATAGATCCGTTGGAAGGCTGCCGCGACGGGGCCCGAGATCGGACTCGGATTCATTAAGAGAGGACGCGCAAGAGGAGGATGGGCTGAAGAGGCCGGACCTAGAATAACGATCAGGATGATAGTACTGGGGACCAAGGCGTCGACGGACCTGAAGAGAGCGCTGTACTCGGACAGAAGGGTATTCGAGGAGCGTGTAGGGTTCATCGGTGGGGTCGTGGGACGCTGGGTGGCAGCGCTGGGAGGAAGCGGAGAAGGAGGTGCAGCGGAGGGGTTGAGGCAGGTTTATTATATCCGTTACAGCACCGTCACACATTTCTTGCCTTTTTCGTTTTTCGCGTTTCAGTTTGTTTGGTGACAGCCGATCGGTCCAATCCAATGGCTCGTCCCACGCTGAGTCCCGCGGCCAGTGATCCCATGCCCTGCGATCCCTCCTGCCTCGCCATTTTCCCTGTCCGCCCCATTCGCGCAGCCCACCGTTTATAATTTATATCGAAGACGCGAAGCCGAAGCATTGAGCGTTAATGAACGTTTGAGCGTCGAACGTCTGCCCGAAAGCGTCGGGACACATTTCTGAAGTTTTGTACGTGGTGCAGACAGTTTCAGGGAGGTTTCAATTCCCTTGTAAATCCACTAATTGACTGCTTCGACGCCTTGCTCGGGCCCGCTTCGGCGGCTCGCTAGTAGTGCGCCTGCAGGCTGCAGGCCGTTGCCACCTCCAACAACGTTGCAGATGCCCGGCAGGTGTGCGCCACGCGCCACAACCTCTCCGCTATTTCCAAGATCTTGAGAACCATTGCTCCAAGGAATGGAGTTGCTTCATCTGCCCTCCATTGCATTGGAGTCCTCGTATCTAGGCGGCCTTTCCTCTTCGGTTTTTCTTACCTCAGCGCTGTCTGCGGTTAACCCGCCGCGTATCACTTATCCGCGAGGATGACGAGCCTCGGAGGTGCACAGGGACAGCCAGGTACCCATTGTTGTCCGCTTAACTTTCTCGAGATAAAAGAACCGAACTCGAG